TGATGTTATAAGATTCGTTTTTAAGTAATTATTAGGTTTTGGTAATCCCTTAGAGTTTTTTGTTTAAATACGAATTTTTTTCGGCTTTCCTTTCCCTTTCATAGCTGGTGGCGTTTGGTTGGAAGTAAGCTTTGTGCTTAGAATTTAGATGGAATTCCAAAAATGTGTAGTAATTCTCCTTATATAAGGGCCCGGTGTCTGCTAAGGCAGTAAATGTGTCGTACGATAAACTCAGTGTGAGTTATTAACTTTTAGATTGAATCCATTTTTTTTACCCACGCGGTTCTTCTTTTTTCTTTTTAATACTTTTTCGTTATCTCTGTGGAGAACTGGTCTTGAGTACAAATGGACCCTTACTGACCAAACACAACGTCTCAGGATTTCAGCAAGCTACATCCGCCATTCTACAATGTGGAAATTCCAATCCTGAAACATCCACTCCATCCGTTGTACAAATCATAAAATATCTCCCTAGGAGGTCAAAGCTTGCGATATTGTTCAAAAATACAAGTATATTTCTATACCGGGATCCCCATTTTGGCCCTTCCAGGTCTAGAAGTCACTTATATTTCACTACTCTTTCATAGAGCAACCATACTCTGCCAGCACCAAAATGAAAGTCCCACGCGGTTCTTCTTTTTTTCTTTCTAATACTTTTTCGTTCTCTCTGTGGAGAACTGGTCTTAAGCCCAAATGGACCCTTACTGGCCAAACACAACGTCTCACGATTTCAGCAAGCTACATCCGCCATTCTACAATGTGGAAATTCCAATCCTGAAACATCCACTCCACCCGTTGTACAAATCTATTTATTTATTTATTTTTATTTATTTATTTAATACATCATCTAACAGTCCTTGGACCAATGACAAGATGAGAAAATTTAAACAAGTATTACATTATATAGCTTTATACATATAAATTCATATAAAATATACATAACAAAGTTAAGACACAAAAAAAACTTTAAATATCAAATATATGGCAAAGCAAAAACACAATAATATTATAAGGAAAGATAAATAAATTAGATATTTATAGTAATACTCCTTATTATTTGAACATTACATGAAAAAATATCAAATCTGTCTTGCAAATAATTGTACTTTCCACACATAAAGTATAGGGGTGAAAAATTTAATATGTTTGTTTTAGGTGATGGCAGGTAAAATGTAAAATTATTTCTAGATGTAACACGAGGAACTCTAAAATATAGTGTACTTAAGATATAAGGGCAGTCTATACTATTATTTAGAAGTTTAAACAAAAATACTAAGGATGCTTTGATTCTGCGTTTCTCCAAGCTTTCAAAATTAAACCTCTCGAGTAATATATTTTGGGGAAAACCGATTGGTGGGTAGAATCCATTAATTCTAGTCTCCATGCACGATACAAACAACAAAAATAAGATATTGCCCATGGTAGGCGGAGCCCAAGTGGCAGACCTACGTCACTAGCAGCGTATAAGCACATGATTAACGTGCAGTAGTCAAGTTTGCGAGTGTTTTTGAGTGGTTTTAGGCGTTTTTTTAGTGTTTTCGTGTTTTTTACATTTTTTTGAGTGTTAATTGTCACATACTACAATCATTTTCGTCACTGTAATTAAATTGTGAGTGTTTTTGAGTGTTAATTGTCATAAAACAATGCGTTGTGCAGTGTACAGATGCAATTCTGAATATAAATCGAAAAAAAAAACCGTGTCCCAATGAAAAGTTTTTCCGTTTCCCGAAAATAGTTGATTTGTGCAAAAAATGGGTTCATGCTACAGAAAGAAAAGACAAGTTTAAAGTTAAAACGTCCTATGTTTGTTCCAAGCACTTTTCTGAAAGTGACTTTAAGATAAATCTGCGACATAAATTACTAAACTACACCCCAAAATGTTAACATCCTTTAGAAGATCATGCAGTGCCTAACTTTAATATACCTAATGACCATATGTAATTATTTTAGTAGGACAGTACTTTCTTTTAGAAAATGTCCTTTAATATTGTTGCACGTACATACAATTGTACTTATTTTCAGAAAAGGGACTCCTCCTAACCTAATATTTTATAATTATAAGATCAAACGAACTTACCTGTAATGAAGTTCGATCTTAATTATGTTAGGCTTCGTCGAAATAAATAATTTACAATGTAGTCCTTCCATCAAGTACCGAATAACACGACAAAAGAGTTAGGTAACCAAAAATAATGATTGGTCACCCTATCGTCTATATCAGATTATGCCTTACCCAATTCATTTCTTTAGAGCCTTAAGTCTTGGCTGCATCTATAGGGCTGAAAAGGGTTGGGTGGGTAATTATTTATTTCGACGAGGCCTAACATAATTAAGATCGAATTTCATTACAGGTAAGTTCGTTTGATCTTATAATTATGTTTCGGCTTCGTCTCATAAATAATTTACAATGTAGATATTTAGAGTCTAAGATGCAGCAGTAACAAATTAGTTAGTAAATCGTATTAAACTTATATAGACATATATGTATACAAAATAACTAGATATATTTGTAAAGAAAATTTACCATCTTTATAATGAAACATTCTTTATTTTTTATTTGTTTTTCTACTAAGCACAGCCTCGGCAAAATTACAGTCTTTTACAATAGGTCTTTGATATAATTTCGCAAATGTTTCGGATCTGGCAGTCCATCCGGCAGACATTCTGATTTGATCTAAGCTTACTCCCATTTGAGCAGCCGCTGAAGTTGAAGCATGTCTAGTGCTATGAGAAGAGAATATAGATGTATCCACACCACTTTTCCCCAACAATGATTTTATCCACCTACTAATAGACTGGACCGAAGCATCATGATGTGGTTTTTTAAAAGTCATAAATAGTTTTTTAGAAGATTGATTATGTAGACTCTTTGTTCTTTTCAAATACTCTTCTAGTGTAATTGCAACACAGATCCTTGGATCATTTTTAAAAGCTGGTAATAATAAGGTGGACTGTAGCCTTCTAGGACCTGAAGTTTTAATTCTATTGGAAATGTTTATTATATAGCCATTGTTATTGCTGGTAATATTGGCAAGCTCAATGTTGGCTAGTGTTTGGACCCTTTGACCTGTAGCCAAGGCAAGAAGTATTGATAATTTAAGAGATAAGTCCTCCAGATTTGGCAGGCAGGATCCCAAGTAGTGTTATATTTGGGAGCACTTGGTCGTAAATTAAAGAGTCCTTTAAAAAATCTTTTGACCCTAAAGTCTTGTGCGATTTCTGGGCGATCTATTTGGGCAATAGCTGATCTATAGGAGTTTAAAGTTGAGTAAGAGCTACCCTTAGTATAATGAAAAGTTAAAAACTCTAATAGTATGGGAATAGTTACGTTAAATACATCTATATTCTTTTCTTTACAAAATTTCCACCAATGTTTTAACCCTACGTTGTATTGTTGCATTGTAGAATCTGTTATTGAAAATGTAGAAATACTTAATGCGGCTTGAGGAACTTTCCCTATTTGTAGTGCCTGGATGATAAGACTCCTGCAACCAGGGTAAGTTCCTGCCATAAGGGGTGAGGGTCCCTATAAAACGAAGAAAGCAAATCTTTACTTGGATAAAAATAAATAGGTTTGTCTTTCAACATTGACATATAAACTGGGAACCATGGTTGAGAGCTCCATAGTGGTACCACTACAATACCTGTAGTATTGTCTTCTATAATTTTTTGCAAAACCTTTAAAATTAGGCAGAAAGGTGAAAATGCATAAAATTTCAGTTTTTTTCAGCTTAAGGTGAATGCATCAATAGCAAAACTCTCTGGATCTCTCAGCCAAGATACATATGTTTTACATTTTTTATTATTTCTTGAAGCAAAAAGATCTATTTGAGGCTTGAAAAAATTATTTATAATTTTATTAAAAGCATAATCACTTAATTCACACTCTGTGTCTATGTTTGTATATCGTGACTCCGCATCCGTCTCTTTGTTGTCTTCTGATCTTATGTAAGATGCATACAAAAAAATATTTATGTCTTTGCACCATTGCCAAATCTTCCTTGTAAGACCGTTAAGTTGTTCAAATTGGACATAAGATATTACACCCTCTAAAATCTTTAGCAAAACATTTTAGTCCTGTGAACACAGCTAAAAGTTCTAAATAGTTAATGTGGTATTGTCGTTCTTCCGCCGTTCAAAAACCATGGGTCCTCTCACCCGCACAAAAAATACCCCATCATGTTCTCGACGCGTCAGAAAACATTTCTATTTGAAAACTTAAGGGCTTAATTGAATTTTTAGTTGTTAATATATTATTAGACCACCACTTAAAATCCGTGTCTAAGTTATAAGATATATTCATATGCGAGTTATAATTTCCTTTAGACTTTTTTAAGGCCAAGAATTTTTCTTTTTCAAATAATTTGGTATATAACCAACCATAACGTACTGCTGGGCAGGATGATATTAATATACCGATAAATTTGGCAAATTCTCTAATTTTACATATTTTTGTGGAGGAAAATCTAAATAATTTTAAAGATAATAAAGAAATGGAAATAGCAGGTAGGAGTATATTTTGTTTAGTATTAAAATTTACGTAACGTTTAAAATTTCCACTTTATGCAGTGTGATGACAAATTAGCAATAAAATTTTTAGTTAAAACTAATTGGATCAAACTTATTCTATGAAAGATTAGTTTACTGATTTATGATTATATCATTAATTAAGTCTAAGCATTGATATTTTTTTTAAAATAAGCATAGATATTTCTTTTTAAATAAGAAAGATTTGTGACTTTATTTTTTATTATTTATTAATTGCATTATAAAGTTGATCGTACTTTTTAAAAAAATTTCATCATTCAGAATTGGGACAATAAAATTCAAACTAATTTTTTTTCTTGGCAACCTAATACGAGTATTCCTGAATTTTTCATTTTACAGATTCAATACTGCCTCTTTCTCATATTTCGATATCTAGTACTACACCCTTTGCTTCAAAACGTAAAAATTCTGATTTCGAAGAAGAATTACCACAGCCTTATAATCCAAAAAAAATGAAAATTATGACACCATCTGTTATATCGGCGCTTGATAGAACAAAAACCACAGATAGAAACGCATGGCATATTTTTGTTGCCGTTGCTTCCGCTATCGGGCTGAACATAAATCAAATCCCTAGTCATAGTACAATTCGTCGTCATCGTATAGAGGGACGAGAACGAATTGCCAAAGATCTAAAAGAAGATTTACAAACTGCTCGTAGCCTTGTCGTTCACTGGGACGGTAAAATGCTACCTGATATTGTTGGCAACAAAAAAGTAGATAGGCTTCCGATCTTAATATCTGGTTTCAATACTAGGCAGATATTAGGAGTACCTAAACTGAAAGAGTCGACGGGAGTAAGTCAAGCATTAATTATTGCTGAAACATTGAACGAGTGGAATGTTACTGACCGAGTCAAACCAATGTGTTTAAATAAACCTACTGTAAACACAGGTACTTATATAATTAAATAACATTTTTACATGTGTCGTTTTTTCACCAAAGTGTGTCCATAGCTTTCATCTGTGCATGCATATATTTTTTCAATTAACTGATCAGTATTAATAGTATTTTTTAACTATTTTATTGTTTGCTTCTAAAGCACTCCTTAAATTATTGCCCATTTCACTTTATTTTGTATTTTTTATTTTTATATTTTATTTTTGTATCTTTCTTAAAACATACAAAAAAATTTCTAAATCTTAAATTTATAATATTCCAGGGGATTATAATGGAACGTGCGATTTATTGGAACAGAAATTGGATAAAAAATTGTTATATTTAGCCTGCCGTCACCATATTTTTGAAATAGTACTGAGATGTGTGGTTGAATGCGTATGGCCAGTAACAAATGGGAGTACGCTTCCGTAGTAAATGGGAAAAAATTAATACAAAAATTTTAAAATCGGTATTAAAGATAAACTTGTTAATGATGTAATTAATGGGACTAAGCGGAATGAAATTCTTCAAATTATTGAAGAGCATCTGCAGGTAAATTGTTGTTAGTGATTATAATTATTTTCATTGCATTCATTCATTCATTCATTGACAAAGTTGAAAAGTAGCATTATTGAACATTTGCGTAATGGCGTGAACGCACTATTGATTTGCATGATTCCGGAGGAGATGGCCCTTAATGGCTTTAAGAATCTATTGTGAAAGAATAATGATGAATGAAATATTGAATTATAACGAAAACTAAACTTTAATCATAATTATTATAACGAAAAATCACCCTTAAACAAGAAAACAAAATAATTTCAAACTCACTGTCATGTCCTCGTGTCCTCAAACTCACTGTAATTTTCATGCAGTCAGAGCATTCAAATATTGCATTGTATCCAGTTTTCGAATAGTTGTGTTTTATAATAATTATCACCACAACCTCTGCAGTTACTTTCTTCTCTATCTTCAGTTCCACTGTGAGAGATATCACTCAAACCATAGAAATTTTTTCGAAATTCCTATCTAAAATCCTACGAATTTTTTTCCAGGTGTGCTTAGTGTTGCCTTTTCTCTTAATTGTTTATTCGCCGTCTCTCCCGTACGATCATCTCAACCGGAATCACCCTAATTATGAGTATTTACAGTCAAATTATCTTGAATTTATTATTTCAGAGTCAACATGTTCGAGATGACTACAAGGAGCTGTTAGAGTTGTCATATATATTCTTAGGTGGAATTCCACCGCAGGGTGTGAAATTCAAAGCTCCAGGTGCAAACCATCACGCACGTTGGATGGCTAAAGCTTTATATTATTTAAAAATGTTCCAAGGTCAATTAGAAATAAGAGCAACAGAGTTAAATGGATTGAGACACATTTGTTTGTTCATTGTACAACTTTACATCCCAGTATGGTTCAATGCTCCTTCAGCTATAAAGGCGCCAAATAATGACTTACTATTTATTAAAAAGTTGATAAGATACGACGAAGTCCATAAAAAGATTTCAAGCAATGCAAGCTTTAAATTTTCAAAGCACTTGTGGTATTTATCCGAAGAACTTGCTGCCTCAGCACTTTTCGATGACAACATACCAAATGAAGAAAAGAGAAAAATGATTCTTGCTATTCAAACTAACGAAAGCACTGCTAAACACTCAAAACGATATGTGACTGACAATCTCGACCCTATATTAACAAAAAACATCAGTGATTTCGTTAATAAAAATTCCTTGCTTTTGTTTGATAAATTCGAGTTATCTCGTGACTTCTTAAATAAAGATCCGGAATTTTGGGAAACTGATAAAGGCTATATAAACTCTAGGATGATTTTAAAGGATTTGAACGTGGTTAATGATATTGCTGAAAGAGGAGTAGCGCTGATCGAACAATTCAATAATTGTTTAACGAAAAATGAAGACCAGAAACAATATTTATTACGTATAGTGGAAGATCACAGACGGAAAATTTACAATTGTACTAAAAGTACTTTTTTAGCAGCTTACCCAAATAGTTAATAATACTATAATTAAAAATTATTGAAAACACTTGTGTGTTTTAAAAAATGTTCTTATTGATGAAAATAAATAAAAAGTAAAATTTCATAATTATAGTATAGGTTCTTAGCTACTCATAATTACTGTAAAGGTCGGTTAAAACGCCAAATAAAAGTAATAGATATAGGTATACATAAATTTTACATCTGCAATAAATAATTCCAGTTATAAAAGTTATTTGAAGTAGAATTTCGGTTGTATGTAAACTTTAAAAGGCTGAATTTACTGTAGATTTAATGATTTAGATATTATAACAAATTTTTAATTTAACTCTTTTACGTAACTCTAATAGTATAAATAGTATAATATATAAATAGTATAATATATTACAGTCGTCAGAAAACTGAATTTTTAAGAATTTGACCCTTTGAGTGGCTGTACAATCTAAACTATAAGTAATACAAAAAAATATTTTTTAACAAATTTGTAGGGAACAAAATTCCCTACAAAATTGTCATTTACGTTTTAAGATTTTCGAGTAGAACGGCAATTTGTGAAGAAGACTTGCTTAAATGGACATTTTTGAAGATAATTTTATCCTGTATAAAGATTTTAGAACCGAACCGAAATATTCTTACTGTGCGAGCAGAAGGAAAAAAGAATAAAACATTGTTTTTTAATGATTTTTAAAGGGAAATATTTAAAAATGGAATAGCAACGGCTTAAAATAAAGATTAAGAGCTTTGTAATTGCTAAATTTTGTTTTCTAACCGGTTACAAGATTTTTAGGTGGGACTTCGAAAAAAAGTGTCGCTCTAAAATAAAACGCCCTCATATACATGGGTTAGAATAAAAATTTTAAGACATTTTACATTTTAAGAGGCTGCAGTCGTTTAACTATTTGTGATACGAAAAAAATTTTTAAAACAAAGTTAGAGGACAAAAAATTTTCTACAAAATTGCCATTAACGTTTTTTTCTATCATCAATAGTTTAGCAAATAATTACGATTTACTGTTATTTTTATAACATTTTCAATTTAAAGAGCGATTTGTAAAGAAGATATTCGACTTACAGACTCGGCTCAATTGGCTTTTTCGTAGACGATTTAGTCCTTCATAAGATCCTTGAGCCAAAATTCGTAAATAAAATTCCTTCGTGGTGAGCGGAAGATAAAAATGGTAAAAAATGGATTTATAATGTTATTTGAATGGAAAATCTTCAACACTGTTGAGAAATGGCTTAAAATCATAATTAGGAGCTCAAAAAATGCTCAATTTTTTTGTTTTTGGATCTACTACAAGATTTTGAGGTGGGACTTGAAAAAAAAAATTGTTGCTCTAAAATGAAGCACCCTAACGCGCATGCGCCAAATTTCACAGACCACGCCCCCATTGGTCACGTGACCGTCCAAAAAAGTGGAGGGGGTGGTCTCAAGCGCGGCCATACCTACTGACGCTAAACTCACAATTTTATGCGTAGAAAACTAAATGCGTAGAAAACCTGCTGGAAAAATCTCGAACTCAATATATTTCTCAATATATGTTAACAGACATTTCCCCAAAGAATTCCCACAAATTCTACCAGGACCCAAACTTCAACCGTCAATACTCCCTCAGCCACACTTGCACTGATACGCCCCTAGTGACATACCCAAAAACCCAAATACCCCCCTAAACGCAACCATTTGGAAAATTCCCTCCACTGACACTAAATTGTCAAAAACGGCAACGGCGCACACCAAAATGAATAAATTAATTATAATTATCATTATAACCACACACAACCCATCCCACACGGAAGTGTTTGTGTTGCATTCCATCAAATTAAAGTTTTTGGATAAAATTAAAAGAAATGGCTTAAAAAGAATATCGTTGGCCTTCATAGGCAATAGGCAATGTGTCAGTAAAAGGAATTCTCATAAAACTAATAAATTCTCTTGGAAAGAGGCATTTAAACAACTAAACAAATATCCTTGTTAAAATATACTTAACATTTAGTCAAACTAAAAATAAAACACTTAAAAGTGTACATCCATACCGTTCTAGATGTAAAAACTAATAAAATAAAAAAAAAATTGGTAACTGTGATAATGACGGTTACAAACTTACCAACTTTTTAGCGTCCATGCATTAAAAAAAAAACCGACAAGCAGATCCCGAAAAACCACTTATACATATATATATATATATGTATATATATATACATATATAATATATATATATATATATATATACAGCCTGTTTAGAATAAAACCGAATATATCTATATATATATGGGGCGTGGCCTCGCCTCTCTCCAAGGCGCGTCACAGTTGCTTGTGTAATAAACGACATGCCGACAGGTCGAGCAGGTAAGGACTTAAAAAATTAAATGATAATAATGCAAAAAATTTCATTAGCGATGCAGTCGCGCGTTGGAGGGAGGCGAGGCCACGCCCCATATATATATAGATATATTCGGTTTTAGTATGAATTTAGTATATGTATATTAGGGTGGACCGAATTTTTTTTTTCCTTAGCCTGGGGGTGGAATTTGTAGCCTATAAAAAATGAAAATTTTTGAAAAAAAAAAATTAATTTTTACTCAACGTCTTGAGGTGGCCCACTGATTTTTTAAATTAAATTTAAGTTAAAATTCTTTTGAATAAAAAAAAAAAATTTTTTGGTTTGTAATCTTCAAATTTATCTAAAAATAAACAAATTTGATCGTGTTCAACTCGAAATTCGCTCTATTGCCTCAGAAAAGCATGTTACTATTTTGGAATTTTTTTAAAAACAACAATAATGACTACAAATTTTTTTTTAAGTTCATAACTGTTAATTAGCAAGAAAGAGGACACTCCGCAGTTTCCGGAACACTTTTGAAATTTTTTTTTTATTCAAAAGAATTTTAACTTAAATTTAATTTAAAAGATCAGTGGGCCACCTCAAGACGTTGAGTAAAAAATTTTTTTTTTATTTCAAAAACTTTCTTTTTTTATAGGCTACAAATTCCACCCCCAGGCTAAGGAAAAAATTTTTTTTTTGTTTTTTTCGCTCAACCCTATAGGGCCTAATATATATATATATTAGACTGGTTCAAAAAAATCGAATATTTTTTTTTCTTCAAAGCCCGCATTAAAATATCTTCCTAGTAGTAAAAAAAGAAGGCTGTGAAAATTGTAGCTCTTAATATTAATATTTAGAGGTCGCTCATCGTGAATTTCTATTTTACGTTTAAATAACACAGGAATTCTTTTTTCTTAACTTTGAAATTTTATAACTCGTTTTTGAGTGAACGTATTGGAATGAACTCTATATGAATGAACTCTATATATTTTTTTGAAGAAAATTGAACGTTCTACAAAAAATGTCTCTTATAATTTTTTCGTAAATTCACTCCTTTAATAGTTATTCAAGGTTGAAATTATTCCAATATGTCCACTCAAAAAAAAGTTATAAAGTTAAAAAAAATTCCTGTGTTATTTAAACGTTACATTTATTATATGTCTAATTTCAACCTTGAATATCTATTAAAGGAGTGAATTTACGAAAAAATTATAAGAGTAATTTTTTGTAGAACGTTCAATTTTCTTCAAAAATATATAGAGTTCATTCCAATATGTTCACTCAAAAACGAGTTATACAATTTTAAAGTTAAGAAAAAAGAATTCCTGAGTTATTTAAACGTAAAATAGAAATTCACGATGAGCGACCTCTAAATATTAATATTAAGAGCTACAATTTTCACAGGCTTCTTTTTTCACTACTAGGAAGATATTTCAATGTGGGCTTTGAAGAAAAAAAATATTCGATTTTTTTGAACCAGTCTAATATACATATATATAATTTCTGTAATATTTCATTGAAAACGAGGCAGATGTTTTCCTCATAACGGCCAATGTCGCTTTTGCCAAAAGTAAAACCACCTTATAGTGATTTGGTGTTGGTAGATTAAGTAGTTGTAGTAATGTTACATTGGACTGTCGTCATGTTGGTTCTTGATTTTTTACTTCCAATGTGTGTGTACCATACTGCTCATAAAATAATAAAGAATCTACATGCACTTATGATGTTACTTCAGTGGTAGATTCAAATCAAGTATTTGTTCCTGAGAACAATATTGATTCAATTTTGAACAAAACTAGAAATAAATCTAAGAATAACGATAAAAACAATCCAGTATTCATAGAACAACTTAATTTGAATGCCAATGAGTACGCTTCAGAAAATAAAGAATTTTTAAAATACTGAACATTCTGCCTCTGGCCAGTGTTTATGTAATGGAGTTATTAACATATACTCTTAAAGCATCTGCGTCTTATGCCAGGAACTCTCAAGTTCATCGGCACTGTACCAGACAACAAGGTGATTTTTATCTGCCACAGGCTCATTTAGAAATATTTAAATTGTCTCCAGCGTATCTTGGCCCAAAGTTATTTAATAGATTAAATCCATCTATAAAGCAAATAAAAAACATTAAATTGTTTAGATATAATATTAACACCATTTTGTTGAATAATTGTTGTTACAGTGTTGATAAATTTTTAAATTGTTTGTAATATTGTAGACTACGTTTTATACATATTTTATACCTGCTTATTGCTATTTATTTGCATTAATTTTATACCTCTCTTGACTTGTCCTATACAATTTTGTAATTTGTCCAAAGGATTAATAAAGGAATTTGAATTTGAATTTACTATTAATTTAGCTAATACTATGAGTGATAAAAATCCACCAATAAAATTGGTTGATTTCGATGATAGTGATTCTTCTTCAAGTAATAATGAGAAATTCCAAGCAAAAAATAATACGCAAGAGACCAAACAAATTCTAGAACTAGAGAAACGTATGCATTCTGATAATTCACACTTTTCAGGACATGCTGGTAGTAGTAAAGGTTCCGATTTTGATTTTTATAGTGATATAAATAATAGTGAAATAGATTTGGTAGGAGAAGGTGGGTTGAGAAAAAAACGAAAGCCAAGTAAAAAAATAATCCGAAAAAGTATAAATAATTTAGGTAAAGGTCGAGTAAAGTTAAAAAAAATATTTACTGAACCTGAGCGACATGACATACATAAATTTTATTGGGGATTGGGTTCATACGAGCGACAATGGTTTTAAATTGCGAAAATGTTCCTATCCGCAGAAGAAATCAACTTGCATCAATAAGCAGTAGACAAAATTCATATAAAAAATTTAGGTAAAGGTCGAGTAAAGTTAAAAAAATTATTTACTGAACCTGAGCGACATGACATACATAAATTTTATTGGGGATTGGGTTCATACGAGCGACAATGCTTTTAAATTGCGAAAATGTTCCTATCCGCAGAAGAAATCAACTTGCATCAATAAGCAGTAGACAAAATTCATATAAATATTTTATTAATTGAAACAATAAATGTGTGGAAGTGTGTCAGCAATTTTTTTTGAAATATATCACAAAAGTCTTCCGGCGCACAGTGGATCGATAGATAGGAATTGGTGAACATAGCACCAAAGTGTGAGAAGATGAGAACATTTTAGGTTTAAAATAAATACTTATCAATTAAATAACGTTGTTATTTACAAAAGTAAATATAAAGTCTAGTTACTTGATATACAAGGCGTTTTAATACACTAAGGTCCACTATAGAAAAGGTTTTCGAGTTTATAGATATGATATATTACTTATGGACTATTCAAAAAGAAACATATTTTTAAAATGAAAAAATTCTATTAAGTTGCATACTTAATAAACCATATTGTACATTTTTGTAAAAATCAAATAATATCAATTTTATTAAATTTTAGATAATACAAATATGGAAAGACTCGGTATGGCAGAAAATGATTTTTTTATAAAGAAGCTGCTTAGATATTTAGATTTTAGCAACACACAGGGGGTTTCATAAAAGTATGGATTTAAATTTAAATTATTATATAAAATAATTGCCACTTTACCTAAAGGGAATTCAAATTTAGTTCCAAATAAAAGTGAATACCTATATCAGAATATGTATTTAACTCAGACGTAGGTAGTAACAAATTCAAACATCAACAACATAACAAAATATTTTTTTTAAATAATAACAATCATAAAATAACTACAACGTATTTTCTTTATTTTCAGTATTCTCTAGTAGCGAAAATACTTATAAATGTAAGTTTTCAATATTTGTTTTGTTTCTTATTGGTCGGACATTAGAAATAACTGGATCAGATGAAATCAGTAAATTGTTTAAAATGTCTTCGTTTGTAAATTTTCTGTTGCATTTTCGAGATCTGACTTATCTATACTTTCTAAAATCTTTGTTTCTAGCCTCTGCGGCTTCTTCTGAAAGGTGCCCAATAGGAAGCAAAGCGTTTTTAATTATTTCCGACCCATGAAATAGAATCGTATGGACCGTAGCTGACATATAGTACCATCTATATAACCTAACGTATTCTTGGGCAGTTTCTTTTGCATAGTTCTGAAATGCATAAACATTAGGGTGGGCCGAAAATCCGCTTTTTTAGAATTTCGTTTAGTAATAGCAAAAATTTTGTTCATTATGTTGTAAAAAAATTTTGTGTAAAAGATTAAAATTTTCGATCAACATCCTAGGCTCGCCCAACGCAATTAAAGATCAGAATTATTAAATTATTTACTGTCGAAAATGCCACTTTTTGAAAAAAAATCGCAATTATCTTGATAGTTATCAATCGCTAAAAATCTTACCAAGAGATGTTTTTGTAGGAAATATAATTTTCCAAACAACCAAGAGTTTCTGAATAGTTTTTTATCGATAAACATTATAATGTTAAATATATTCAAATGGCTAAAAATTACAATTTTGATACTAAAATCGGGTTTATTTCTGAAACTATCCATCTGACGTAATTTTATGTAAGGACCTTTTTTGTAGAGCATAAAATTTCCAATCGAAATTTATTTATAACTTATAAGTTAATAAATTTATTTATAACTTATAAGTTAATAAAAAATGTTTGTGAACATTTTGATCTTTAATTGCGTTGGGCGAGCCTAGGAGGTTGATCGAAAATTTTAATTTTTTACACAAAATGTTTTTACAACATAATGAACAAAATTTTTGCTATTACTAAACGAAATTCTAAAAAAGCGGATTTTCGGCCCACCCTAATAAACATCTATTTTGCGACCAGAAGCTATAGCCTGTAATATGACGTAAAATCTTTTGACTAAATTTATATCCAAACCGGTAATTTCCGCAGATTTCGTAGTATTGCTAAAAAATCTTCTTGCGGTGTTGCCGAATCCCTGTTTCACCATATCAATGTTCAGTCCCAATTCATTTTGGTTTTTTTCTTCATATTTTTTTCTTCTGTGGTTCTTGCTGACCACTTTTTAAATTTCATATTGTAAGAAATATGGAGCAGACATTCAAATGTTCTTATCCATGCATGTAGCGAAGACATTCCTAATTTATAATTCTCTTCGACTGGTGCTTTACAAGCCACCAATTCCAAGTTGTTTATTTCTGTAGGTTTTGCTCCACAAATATAGCAATTCATTGTGGATTTTGATTCTGCTACTGTCGAACAAATTTTACCATCGATCATTGTTAAAGGAAGTGTGTGTTTTATGGACGTAGTTTCAGAAACTTCTGTCTCAGTCAATAGATTAATTTCATCCTTTAAAGATACCCATGCATTATTTATTACCTCTTTAGATTCTTTAATAAACTGAAAATTAATTGGTCGACAATAAAACGGCGATGATGGTCATGGATTTTCCCAAACAACATTTGAACCCTCATTTAAAAAACACAGTTTAAGTGGAACATAAGCTGTCATAAAAATACTTGAGTCATCCGATTCACTATTTTCAAATTTTTGCTTATAATTAATTAGATTGGCTAGAAGCTCCATCGAATCCACATTTACCTATAAGAGTGAGTTTGCCAGTGACAGTATTATTTAGCGATTCTATAATTCTCCTAACTGTGTGATCCAAAAGGGACTGCAACATAATTCTCGCAAACGTCTCGGTTATCATTATAGAACTTTGTGGAGGGTAACACTCACGTTTTGCTTTTTGAATCTGATATATGACGGATACAGAAAACAACCTTCTAGCTGAGCAGATTTTCGTAAAGTCAGGTAGTCATTTTTTGAAAGTTTTAGGGAAACGTATATTGCTAGCGACTTTTCCTTTAAATAGGAATGCTGGTGATACTTCTGAATGTTTTCACAAAAATGTCTTACTTTTTCTACATGTTGGGGATGTTGAGTTAAAAATTTAAATATTTTATTTACATCTTCATTTTCACAATTACTCATTTTTGAAGTTATAGCAAAGGATAATTCTTCCACGTTTTCTTTTTTCAGGTAAGCTGTTCTTCTTTTCTTTTGCTTTAAGGAGAGATCTTCAAACTTTTTACGTTTCTTCTGTACAATTTGCAATGCCGATTTTACTGGTTGAGATATTAAAACAAAACGCGGCCAGGCAAAGTCTTGTTTAATCCATGATTGGTTGTTCTTTAAAAACTTTTCATATGTACGGTTACATTCTCTCCATCTTTTTGACACATTTAAAGTAAACTTTCTGAGGCATTCACTTAAAATATCTTTCTCCGTTTCACTTAAATTATCCAAATTAAGTTTTTTTACAGTAATACTCAGTAAAGTTTTAAAGTCGCTTAAACCAACACCCGACGATCTTAATGTTGTGAATAAATCAAAATTGCTTCTTAGTTCTTCCATATTTTACTTTTAATTAAACTTATTTTATAGTGTATGCACCAAAAATATATTAACACAAATTTTGACAGCTTAAATACTATGACAACATAAACAATTAACTTATTTCTCGAAATCCCACTATGCTCCATAACACTCTATGATCTATATTTTCCAAAGTGGCGCCTTGTGGCGGCAAATCTCTGTACATTTGTTTTAAATAACCTTTGAACTCCATAACAGCCATAAAAGAAGTTTATGCATATTTAAGCATTTTTTTAAAACTCAAGATAAAGTTTAGATTTGTGTAACGCATTGTATAACAATAAAATGTTAAAAATTATTGTTACTAAATACGTGTTGGTATTAAGTTAACCGGGCAATTTGCAAGCTTAGTTATCATATAAAATAAAACTATAAAAAAATATATAAGTTTTTGTTAAGGTATGAAGTTATGCTGTTTAATTTGTAATAGTCAGTTTAATAAGGAAAATAACAAAAAACATTCTTTACGAAAAACGCCTTCTGTACTGTTTAGTATGTTGCCAAAAAAAATGTTATGCTTATTTTTAACAAACTTGAAGTTTTTGGGAGACATTTAAAAAAAATGATATCAAGTTAGTAATTTTTCATAATTGCTGTATGTCCACTAACATATATGAGCTCGATCAACTGTGCGGCGGTACCTTCTTACTATTGCCGCAATCATAGTGATAGAAGGTATTTAATAACATAAATGAGAAACGTGGGATTTTTATATCGAATATTTTTACACCATCAAGAAGCCAATCAATCAAAACACATACCGTCATTGAAAATATTTAGAAATATATTTCTAAACGATTTTAATATAGGTTTTCATTTAACTAAGAAGGATAAATGTAAACTGTGCAAAAGTAGAAGGGTAAATTTTTTTTAGAAACGGAAACTTTAAAGGAATTATTTACAAAACATATAGAAATGAAGGAACAAAGCAAACATTTATTTTTAGAAGACCAGAAAAGGTACTTGACTGATAATTACTACCTTTGTTTTGATTTAGAAAAAGTCTTGAATACTCCTCATGGAGACAATATTCTTCTGTACTATTCAAGAAAATATGCATTTTATAATGAAACAATATATGAGTCAGGCACACGAAATGGCTATTGTTGTATTTGGGGAGAGTGCGATGGCAACCGAGGGTGTAGCGAGACCTTGTAACGTTACAAATAGTAACGCTACATGATTTATGTAATAGAAATAAGTTAAGCATTGTATAAGTATAATTTAGTTTATTAAGTACACACCTGTTCTCATTGTATATCGCATATCGGCTTGATATTATTGTATTTTTATGTTTTGATTATTATTTGGGGGTCTTTAGGTCGCTGGCTTTATGGTGTTGATTTGCCATGCCAAAAAGAGTACGTTTATTTTAGTTTTATTGATAACCAAGAAGATCTTTTAATTATTGTTTCAATATGTGTAAAGTATGAATGTGTTAAGTAAATGATTGCAGGTGAATGATGTGGGTGCTCCTTTAGGGTATGTATGCGTTTTAAGTTTATCTTGGACTCTGGTAATCCTACAACATTAGTGTACTTTAGAATGGGTTAAAGGGGGTTAGAATAAGTTGGTTATATTTGGTTATATATGTGCATAAATATTAAAACGATAAAAATAGTATTTTTGCTTCCGGGGCATACCTACATGCCAGTTGATTCGGTCCACCCTTCGATCGAAAGAAGCATAAAAAATAAGATCGTTTGAGCACCAAATTTTTTAAGATCAGTCAACTTCCTCAGGCATATTTTGAAAAAGGAAAATTCAAATTCAAAGTAAATTATAACTATGACAGAAATACAGGGATAGATGTCATTCCGGCGAAGTCAAAAAGTAAGATTTTATCTGATTGTTTTGAATAGATACTAATAGATTATTAATTGTTTCGACCTTTACTTAATGAAACTCCATGTTAACTATGTGGATATAAAAACAACTTTGTTGTTAATTTTCACGAAATTTATTAAATTTTGACAATTGTTTCGCTACACAGTAGCAAATTCTGAAGAAGCTACTGTGTAGCGAAACAATTGTCAAAATTTAATAAATTTCGTGAAACTTTACAACAAAGTTGTTTTTATATCCACATAGATACTAATAGCTTAAATTTCAGCTCAAAGATTATGTTTTGATGTGTTATCACAACCTTTGTACCACCAGAAATTAC